AAGAGTGACGTACCTTTACCTACCCTGGAGGAGTTATCTTTCTTAAAACCTCCAGGGCAGATCCAGGTCTCCACCAGATATGAGTTATGAATGTTTCTTTTCCCAGGTCTGCTCACATTTCCACACTGTCGGCCATATCCCATCTCTACAACTGAGGCCAGAGTAGCATGTCACCGCTATTGTCTGGCGGGAACCAGGTAGTTCCCGAGGGACAGGACGGGTCACACTACATCACCCCCTCCATCCCTCACCCCCACCCTAGTTAGTGGTACCTGCCATGGTGGGGGCGGCTACAAGTCAAGGTCACAGCCAACACCTCATCACTTAATGAGGTTATGGAACTGCCAACACTAGCTGTCATCTGGAGGACTGATTCAACATATCAGACGAGACATTAATGAGGTCACCTGCCTTGCTATAAAGAACACCAGTGACCAGAAATGAACAGCCAAGAACAACGGAGTGGATTGGGCAACGGTTGCGGGATTACACAAGGTCTTGTCCACTCCTGAGGTTTCTGATGCGCCGAGCAACAAGATGTGAAACTTGGTGGCTACGTAAGAACAGCACGTTCCCTCTAGAGTGTGCATGATACGCCAACGCGGATGCACGATTTGCATCTTGGGCCTACAATCATGTGCATGATGGGATAACGAAGAAAGTCGTAAAGGCCTAGTACGACGTAGCAGAAGAAACACCTGTAAGTGGATGGAACCCAAGAGCTGGAGCCGGGACCCGAGGGTTCTGCCGCCACGCCCACCCCGCCTCAACGAACTGGAGCTGTTCACTCATCAAGCAAGACCTCGTCTGGTGTCAACGTCTCAGTACTCCCAGGAAGTCAACATGTATGCGGCAGACAGAACATCGCCAGCAGACGTTCAGCAGGCGACAACATCTTACAAGAGGATGGAACCCAGGTACGCCAGAGTTCCCCCTGTGACCGGACAGCAAGTCAATCATCGCTGTCAACACCGACGTCATCGCCTCGTCGACGACCCGGAAGTAGGGACCAGCAGCGCGGATGTACTGCGGATTGTGGACTAGATCAGTGGAAGACTCTAGTCAGGAGGGGAGTGGATCTCTTCTCACAACAACTGAGGCCAGCTGAAGAACATCGTTGGTGAAGAACACGACGCATCATTGCAGAACTACAGCAAGAATACAGCAATGGGCGAGTCAACAACATCGGGACAACGGACTCGTCGGGAATAAAGACTTTGTTAATTTGTATATACAATATATATGTAATTGTTTTTAAGTTCAGAAAACTTGGTGTTCACCGTTACAGAGAAAATGTTATGAATGACAATTTTTGTGTAGACTCTGGTGAACTGGGGAACCAGCGGAAAGATGGTTCCAGTATAAATTTAATTGTTTGTCATAAATTGTGTTAATTTTTGTTTCTCAAATTAATGTTGATTTGTCATCTAAGAGGTTAGATGGGCTGCCATGCAGGTATGGTCAGCCTGGATTTTGAGTTACCATGGTAACTGTTATTGTTGTGAGTTTTTATAAATATTTCTCGACTGTGAGATGTGTATATTTAGATAGGGTAGCTATTTTTTTTTTCGAGGCATGTGCTAGTTCCTTTGTGGTCTGGGATAAGAAAAGCCATGTTCGAGTTCCTCGCCCACGGTTTTTCTTAAACCGGGACATTGGGGGATATGTAACAAGAGAGCAGTACATAGTACATGAACATCATAACAGCATGAACAAGCCACGTGGAGGATGAACAACCCACAGGCGCCAGACAGGCGGCGGCAGACAATGTAAAAGTTACACTTCTGTACAAGTTAGCCATAGAGTCAGGTCAACGGTCATCGAATCACAAAGAGGTCAGAATTGATGCCGTCATGGTAATCTTCAGGGATTAACCCCTAAACAACAAATGCAAAACCCTCATGTTCAGCTGAGGAGCAGCAGATCAGGGGAGTCAGTTGAGTGGGCACAGCCCAGTAGGGAGGTGTGTGTGGACTCTGGGAAGGAACATCATCTCCAGGAAAACTGTGGAACAACATACGAGTAAGTACGGCTCTCTTGTACTAAAGCACCTCATTCAGTACCCTTGGCCTCTAGTAGGGAATATAGTTAGGGAGTGTCTTATTTAATTATTTCTAATAAAGTCAGATATTAAGTGTTATTCAATGTGTATTAATGGTTCCTTGCTTTAGTGATATTGGGCCTACCGTCCCCTTTGCCCTAGTGACCTAGTGCTCTTAATTATTCAGTACTCCTCCCCCCCGTTCGTCTTCCGTGTTGAGGTGTTAGTATTGGTGTGTCCCGCCTTATTCTTGTGTACACTATAGTTCCCAAGTGGTCAGGATTATTCGAGTGTCAGGCCAGGATCCTTGTACCGTTCAATTGTCCCCTACACCTGTCCTGGTAGGTTATTCCATCTGCAAGACCTACGACTCTCACTCCGGTCCCCTGTCCGGTAACTCAGGGTGGTGGCAGCGTCACTCGGTAACTCATACGATAGGTTGTGACTACGATTATCCCTATCTTTCTGTCTCACTCTCCCTCACTAGTATCTCACTCTCCCTCGCCCTCACTCGCTCTCGTTCTCCCTCCCTTGCTCTCGTTCTCGCTCTCCTCTCTCTCTCCTCTCGCTCTGCTTCCCTCTTCCTCTGCCTCCCTCTTCCTCTCTCTCTCTCTCCTTCCTCTGTGTACTGGTTTACGTCTTCGTATGACGGCCCGAGTGTTAACATCTTATATGATCGGTATAGCATCTGTTATTACCATAGAAAGAGCGGAGATTGCACGGTTAGCTCAGTGGTAGTAGCGGAGTGCGCGGTCGAGATAGATACAAGGCGAGATATTACAATTAGTGTTATTGCAACACGGCGCGGGGGGTCTGGGGCTCCCCCTTCCCCCTCCCGGGGAGGGGGGAGCTGCGCAGACAGCGGCGCGGCAGTGTGTGACGTCACACTAGTTTGCTTGTTTTCGGTTGGGGAGTTCTATCCACTAGTTCGGTTTTTGGTAGCAATTTTAACCAGAATAGGGGTTTGTTTTGGGGCGCTTACCTTTCTGGGTGCCTGTTCCGGTCGATGGCAGACATAGAATGCTTCCAACTACACGGGGGCTTCTATAGGCCATTGCTCCCCTTGCCTCTCTGAGGGGGCCCGGTTCTGGCCGTGGTCCCCGGTAGGCCTAAGAACTCCATACACATGACTGATGCCAAAGTCTGACATTAGCATATCAGCCTGGGATAGCTCCGGGGAGCCGACGGGGCTCCCCCCCAGAAATGGGGTAATGATCATCTATGTTTGACAATTTTTTTTTTCTTTCCATAACTTTTCAGAACGGCAATTGAACGTGTATTCTTATTAGCACTATCGTGTTCCCCACAGGCACGCCGCCAACTTAGAGGTCATGGGCCTAACGTGCGGGCAAGTGTGCGGGCAAGTGTGAGGCGATGCCTAAATGTGTATCCTCGTTTCAGTTTTCTCACCTTAATTCTTGTGCTACGTCGTTCGTTTTGGTATCATTGTGTTCGCAATTAAATTCCCTACAGGTGTGTATGAATATAATGTCCAAAAGCCTGCCGTGACTCCCAATAGCATAGCCTAAAGTCGGCAAAAGTTACCCGTGAGCGCACAAAATCAGTAAAATGTGTATACTCGTTCAATTTTTTTCACCTTAATTCTCGTGCTACGTCGCTCGTTTTGGTATCATTGTGTTTGCAATTAAATTCCCTACAGATGTGTATGAATATAATGTACAAAAGCCTGACGTGCCTCCCCACAGAAAAGCCTAAAGTTACCCGTGAACGAGCACCAATTTGTACACCGCAACCTAATGTGTATACTCATTCAGTTTGATAACATCAACTTTCGTGTTACATCTCTCATTTTTATATCAAATTGTTCGCAATAAAAAGGCGCGTATTTTAAAACTAGTCCCATAATAATAGAGCAATAACTGGAATTTTAACAAATATTTTAATTCTGGAAGCTCATCATCACAAAATTATTTATATCTTTCCAGTGTTCCGACATAAATTTTTGTATTACATCTTTCATTTTGGTATCAAATTGTTCGCAGCATAAAGGCGCGCATTTTAAAACTAGTCCCAACATAATAGCACAATAAATAGAATTTTACCAAATATTTTAATATTTTGACCAAAAACCTATTTATAATCTTTCAAGTGTTCGGACATCCAGTTTCATGTTATATCTTTCATTTTGGTATCAAATTGTGCGCATTCTAAAGGCACTTATTTTGATACTATCCTGAGGTTGATCGGATAAAAAATGAATTTTATACAAATATTTTTGTAGTGGATGCAAGTCCTGTCCACGGCTAGGACTCAGGAGAAAAAAAATGGACGGGATTGATATCCAAAGAGAGCGATAGTGTTAAGATCTGGTATGAACGCTTGTTCTCTCTGACACACCTTTCGCAAACAGAGTCGTAAAGGGTTGGAACAAGTTAGGTGAGGTGGTGGTGGAGGTCAAAACCGTCAGTAATTTCAAAGTGTTATGTCAAAGTGTGCTGGAAAGACGGGACACCACGAGCGTAGCTCTCATCCTGTAACTACACTTAGGTAATTACCATACACTCCCTCCATGACCCGTACAAAATGCTGTATATCCCCGTGTATAACATGCTCCTCATTTACAATCACCTTTTGTGGAATTTTTTTTCTATCTACTGCACTGTATTTTTCAATACATTTTTTTTGACAAACTGGGCAAGAATAACTTGAGCTACCTTATTCCATTGTGTGTATTTATACCTCCATAAACATATTTGAATTTATTGACAATGATTTTCAAGTGGTTTTGTCGGGAAAACACATGATTTTGTGCATGCAAATGCAATACAGAATATATATAATTGGTGCTGAAACAAAATATGCATTCAATTTACGGGGAAAACAGTAAGTATTTATATGCATTTGCATATAATTGGAGCCAACACTTAAGAGCATAAATATTAAAAAGAAAAACTTGGTAAAATTAGTCAAACACACAAGAGTAACTAAATTATCTTACATAGTCTTTTGTTCCGTCATATACATCATACGTGAGTGCAATTAGCCGCAGGGTTAACACGCAATGGGGCATACTCCACTTGATATCGTAAGTGTCTGTTCCTGTCATGTAGTAACCTGTAATATTAAACTTCATTAATGTTGGCGACAGTGTAGTAAGATTTAATAATAATAAAACAAGGGTTGTTTTATTAAATAAATAATATAAATAAATGTAAATAAATAAATAAATACTGTAAATAAATGTCACTTACTGTGCTGCACCTGGGTAGCTTCCCAGCGCTCCTGTGACAGCGAAGGGCTCTTCCCAAACATCTGGTAACCGAGACTTTTTTGCATCAACTGGGACCCAGGACCAGGAGCCAGATTCACGAAGCAGTTACGCAAGTACAACACTTACGGACGTGTACATCTTACCTTAATCTTTGACGGCTTTCGTTACATTTATTAAACAGTTTACAAGCATGAAAACTTCCCAATCAACTGTTTTCATTGTTATACAGCTTCCTGGTGCTTCGAAGTTCATTAACTGTTTAATAATTGTAAGGCCGCCAAAGATTGAAAAAAGACGCACAGGTTTGTAAGTGCTTGCGTAACTACATCTTGAATCAGGTCCCCTCAAGGAAGTGAGGGGGAAAGCATACGAGGATCAGAAATTGACCCACAACCTAACCAAACACTCACAAGTCATGGGCATCACAAACAACCGCTCTAAGAATCGGATAGTTTGAACACAAGTCTAGGGTTCACATAAACAAGTAGAGCCTACCAATGATGCCTCACCACCCTGAGTGCAACATGCGCTTGTTAAGGGTGCGGGGGACACCTAAAAGGCACAGGCAGCCAATACCTTGATAAGCCGCCACACTTCTCAAGCCCTTATACTTGCCATGGCCCTACACTAGACACTTACTAATTCAGTCTTCTTGTACCCGAATATCCGGGTAACTGGCAAAATGATGACCAAGTTGCATTAATTGTCCTTGAATATAATCCTGATTGCAGAGCTTAGTGAGATAATTACTTATTATTTCCTTACAAATACATTCATAAAACATTAAAACAATTTACAGTAATATTAACAAGTAATTTGTTCGTATAGAAGCATACAATGTGTGTGAAAATGTACGACTCCGGCCAGCAGGGAAGCCCAACAATGGAAAGTTCTATATTATACCAAGCAGTCATCAAGGTCCACCAGAACACGGATCCGAGAGTCAAGCAGCACACAAACAATAACATTGGTAAGCCTGATAAATGTCTAGGAAGCCAGGTGGGGCCTCAGTGGGAAAGCATAGAAGTGATAAGGTGTGTGCCAGCCCACAACCCCTCAACCTCAGATGGCTATAAGAAACCAGAACAGTATGCCAATCTCTTGTACACAAGTGATAGTACTTATAGCAACTACTGCTGGAATGTATAAAATTGGACTGTTGTAAAAGGAGCCGGTCGGCCGAGCGGACAGCACTCTGGACTTGTGATCCTGTGGTCCCGGGTTCGATCCTGGGCGCCGGCGAGAAACAATGGGCAGAGTTTCTTTCACCCTATGCTCCTGTTACCTAGCAGTAAAATAGGTACCTGGGTGTTAGTCAGCTGCCACGGGCTGCTTCCTGGGGGTGGAGGCCTGGTCGAGGACCGGGCCACGGGGACACTAAAACCCCGAAATCGTCTCAAGATAACCTCAAGATATACCCAAAGAAACCACATTTTGTACTATACATTTTGTGGATGTCATGAGAAAGAAAGCAACAAAGATGTAAACTTTCCCCACAGTGAAAAACCGAGAGACAGAGGTGGGAGAGAAAACAAGAAACCAGTATCAAGGAGTGAGCCAAGCCTAATCCAAAACATGGGCTAAGGTGGCTCGCTGTCGCACTAACTAAGCCAAAGAGGGAACCATCACTGCCTCCCGAAGGAGGGGGGGTTATCTTGAAGTTATCTTGAGATGATTTCGGGGCTTTAGTGTCCCCGCGGCCCGGTCCTCAACAACTCAACAACTACTACACTCTCAAGTGGAAGATGGCTGCCATACATTCACCCTAATAAGACTACATATGAGAATCTTAAGTATATGCAAACAAGACAGAGTTCCTATTCAGGAGTCAGACTACATTAAATATGGCCAAACAACCCATGAAACAGTAAACTCTAGTGGCCACTGGTCCACAATAATCAGTGACAGGAGAGATAACTCTGGAACTAAGTTGAAGCAGATAACTAGTCAGCCATACAAAGTGACTGGGTACCATGTCATTGGGACTGGGTGGGAGTTAGACAGCTGCTACAGGCTGCTTCCTGGGGGTGTGTAACAAAAATCAGGCCTGGTCGAGGACCGGGCCACGGGGACACTAAGCCCCGAAATCATCTCAAGATAACCATACTGTGACACAATACCACAGAATGGAAACCCTCTTTACAAAGACAAGGTTTCAAAGTATAACCAGTCAACTAACCTGAATTGACCCAGGAGACCTGGGTGCTTAGCCAGTGGACACTTTGCTCCCCCAACCCTATTGTACTAGCTCGTGCTAACACCTGGTGGTAGTTGGTTTAGTAGGCAGTTGACTCGTTATCTCAAGTGATCCCGAGTGAATGTTTGAAGGGGAAAGATGAGTAGATTTATTTGTTTTGGTGTTAAAGCAAGCAGTCTATCTTGGTGGTGGACTGGTATATACTCTCCACTGTCTCCCTGACCCAAAACAAGTAACAATCCCATAAGACAAGTTCTTTGTCACAACATAGCTTTAAATCAAATAGCCATGGGCCCGCCTAGAGAAACTACCCAGGAAGACATGCTCTGAAAATTGATATTTTTAGTCTCTCGGATCTTATCTATTTTCAGATGCAAGTCCTGAAGTAAGTGGTCTGCTTGATACCTGATTGATAGGGTTCTGGGAGTTTCTCTACTCCCCAAGCCCGGCCCGAGACCAGGCTTGACTTGTGAGAGCTTGGTTCAACATGCTGTTGCTTGGAGTGGCCCACAGGCCACATATCCACCACAGCCTGGTTGGCCTGGCACTTCTTGAAGAAAACTACAGTATCTAGTTTTATCTTCAAGATGTCCAAGGTTGTTCTGGCAATATTTCTTATACTCGCTGGGAGGATGTTGAACAACCGTGGACCTCTAATGTTTATTCAGCGTTCTCCGATTGTGTCTATGGCACCCCTGCTCTTCACTGGTCTACGTCCTTTGCTTACAACCGAGGATCCAGAGTTCAAACCCTGGGTGGGGAACAAACTGTTGAGCATGTTTCCTTACACATGATGCAATGCATCTGTTCACAGAGTACAGTAGTTAAAAGTACCCAGGAGCTAGGAAATTGTTGTAGGCTGCATCCTGGGAAAGGATGCATTGGGGGGAACCTTGATAAGCCTAAGTACAGGCTTCCAATACCTGACAATGCAGATTAAATTTAATTAAGGTTAAGTTCACTCTGTGCAACATGCTCAAGGAATGTAATTGTTGATTGAGGATGAACTAACAAAAAGTTCCTGGCTTATGCGTTCTTTATATGACTGTGAAATGTTGTAATTATTTATTTTAGAAATTTGGCCAATTATATTATTAATTAGTGCCGTGCCTCACCAAGTTTACATGTCGGGTGGGGTATACCTGGAGCATACCTGGAGAGGGTTTCGGGAGTTCTATTCCCCAAGCCCGGCCTGGGGGCCAGCCTCGACCATCAATTTTCTTGCTGCAGTGTCTTCTTGGCTATTCAATTGCAATAATTATGTTCTGTATACATTACTACTTAAAATACATAAAATATAGTGGATTACATCCAAAAGGAAAAGAAATGAAAACAGAATCAATATAATCCATGAACTATTGCTAGCTTCCCACAACAGAATGTGCTCACATTATGCAATAAGAAACAACAATTCTGAATGCAATTTGACATAACATAAGACGACTAATCTTCCAGCGTAGGCATTCTGTTGCATGAAACACACAACGACAGACTTTGCAACAGGTAAAGTCCACAACTATAACCCCCTACAACAAAACTGATACATAAATAATTCCATCCTAATATTCAGAGCGGAGGAGTGTAAGAACAAAAGAAAGTCGCAGCGTACCGACGAGAAGATACGTCATCTGGAAGACAAAGGATATGATAACCGATTTGAGAGTCCCGCCTATAGACAGTAGAAGCAGCCATGCCACCATCACGCACACAGCCGAGTGCACCACATTCTGACCTGAGGAAAATGAATTTTATTTTTAAACATCTTTAATGAGCATATGTATGTATGTATGTATGTATAATTACCGTATGTAATTATGTTTACTGTCCAGGCTAAAATAAGAATACTGAAGATATAAAAATTGGAGTGAATCTTTAATACTTTTAAATACAGATTAATTTCATAAGAAAAACAATTAGAATTATGATATTTTTAATTGCACATCGTCAGAATGACAATTTGAGGTGATCACCACACTTTAGAAGGTAACAAAAATCTACCTTTACAGATATTAAATGAGAGGTTACCAGCCGAGGCGCTGCCTCTCACCAGCCGAGGCGCTGCCTCTCACCAGCCGAGGCGCTGCCTCTCACCAGCCGAGGCGCTGCCTCTCACCCGCTGAGACAGTGCCTCTCACCAGCAGAGACACTGCCTCTCCAGCTGAGACACTGCCTCTCACCAGCCGAGACACTTACCATAGTTAAAAAGAGCAATGCTGACACCAGAGGTGATGAAGTAGAGGTGTTGCATCCAAGGACTCTTACAGTACAAGGTGTAGCGATGTATCAGCACTAATGGGTAACCTAAAACAACAAAAACACACATATTATACATTTTATATATATATAACAATAATTCAATTTATAATAGCTGCTATCAGGAGACAGGAAGTCTGTACTTGAAGTCTTATCACAGTCCCATTGGAAAACTTGTACCGTTCCCCAGGATGCATCTTACACTTAAAAATAACTCCCCCGGGCACCTGTTAGTGCCTGGGGAGGTGACAGGAAATGTGCCCGACCACTTCCATCCCACCAAAGGAATCGAACCCGGGATCCCCAATTGAAAGTCAAGGACGTAGACCACCCCTTGCCAACGCAACTTTATGGCTAATTATAAAACCTGAATAAAAGGGCGAGAATAAAAACAGGATGGGAGGTGGACTACAAAAACAGGATGGGGGTTATCGTGAGGTTATCTCGAGATGATTTCGGGGCTTTAGTGTCCCCGTGTCCCGGTCCTCGACCAGGCCTCCACCCCCAGGAAGCAGCCCGTAGCAGCTGTCTAACTCCCAGGTACCTATTTACTTCTAGGTAACAGGGGCATCAGGGTGAAAGAAACATTTTGCCCATTTGTCTCCGCCTCCACGGGGGATCGAATCCGGAACCTCAGGACTACGAATCTAAAGCGCTGTCCACCCAGCTCTCAGGCGCCTGACACTAAAGGGGAGTGGAATACAAAAACAGGAGGGGGGTGGAATACAAAAACAGGATGGGGGTGGAATACAAAAACAGGATGGGGGTGGAATACAAAAACAGGATGGGGGTGGAATACAAAAACAGGATGGGGGTGGAATACAAAAACAGGATGGGGGTGGAATACAAAAACAGGATGGGGGTGGAATACAAAAACAGGATGGGGGTGGAATACAAAAACAGGAGGGGGGTGGAATACAAAAACAGGATGGGGGTGGAATACAAAAACAGGATGGGGGTGGAATACAAAAACAGGATGGGGAGGGGGGTGGAATACAAAAACAGGATGGGGGTGGAATACAAAAACAGGATGGGGGTGGAATACAAAAACAGGATGGGGGGAATACAAAAACAGGATGGGGGTGGAATACAAAAACAGGATGGGGGTGGAATACAAAAACAGGATGGGGGTGGAATACAAAAACAGGAGGGGGGTGGAATACAAAAACAGGAGGGGGGTGGAATACAAAAACAGGATGGGGGTGGAATACAAAAACAAGAGAGGAGGTGGAATACAAAGCATGGGAAGGTTTACAAGACAAAGAGAGAGCAGCACTATCCCAAACACCCAACAAGTGCCAATACCAGTACAAGCTGGGACAAATTCTCATTTACGGAAACCACTTTTCGATGCCTCTACACAAATTACAACTACAAAGATACAAGCAAGCTGCCATGATGAGCAAGCTAAGCTCACAATATTGATAATCAATAAACAAAAGGACAAACAAAAACCGGAAATTAGTCACTGCTGATCACCATCCTAGCGACTAATGATATTAAAGAGATCCAAGGTACAGTGTGACATAAAATAACCCACTAAGTGATTGAGTCTACCAAGTCAAACATGTCACAGGCATCACTGAAGAGGGGCATTCATTAGAAGCTTAGACAAAATGGACTCCCTATTCACCGAGCCACAACACTGAGGCACATCCACCGCCTGACCGGGATTGGATCCGAGGCAACTTCATCCTATAGAAAAATGGATGCAAAACAAAATCAGTGTAATGAGATGTATCTAGGAGAAAATAATACGATTATGTAATGGGATAAAATTCACATCCCTTGGACTTCCCCTCAAAGACACGTACTGTACTACCAACTGAACCATGACGAGCTTAAAATGACCTCGGTCACAATCTTCTCAGAAGATTACGTACCAAACACACTCCAGTCTACCAAAAGTAAATGATCTGTCCATTTCTCAACATCATGCACAGGAAATCAAACATTGCAAATACATACAATCTCATTACAAAAGCAAGTGCACCTCAGATACACTTACCTGAACCTAAACATAAAAATGCCAAAATGACCAAAAGTAAAATCGTGATTATTCCGTCTTACCTAACAGCAAAACCTACATGCAAGAGCTTTCCTCAGACAACATTCAGCACACAATGTCAGGGAGAGAAACCTCGTACTCGTGATTACATGTCGAGGTCTCCCTCAGTTCAAACTACAGATCATCCTCATGAGCAAACCCACAACAACTGCCTAATTCCAGATACTTATTTACAGCTAGGTGAACAGCAGCATCAGGTGAAAGTAAACATGCTGAACCATTACCATCCCGCCCACGAATCCAACCCAACATAGCCACCCGCCACACAAGGAAAATAGGGCCAGTTACAATTTGTGTCTGCAGGGCAATTGTGAGTTGAGAACATATACCATTGTACCACAGGGGGGTCACTTCAATTGTCGTTCCATTGCCTTTTCTATGCGAGCTACACATGTGGGAATGAGGGCTGCGCTAGAGACAGTTGGCGGAATGTTATGTTTGCTTCGATTCATGGGTGTCTGGCTTATGAGATGGTGGGCTATGAGGCAACAAGTTGTAGAGGCAGTTATTGTGAGTAGGAGTTAGCTGCTTAATGTGATGGGTGAAATTTAGCTCCCCTAAATGTCACTCCCAACAGTATACACACAACAGAACCCTCCACATACCGTATGTCCCCCTCAACCAACCACCCATCCAGTAAGAACTTTGTTCTTACTGGACAGGGCCAGGGAGTACTGCAAGGCCAGAGTAAGAACTTTGTTCTTACTCTCCTATGTAAGAACAAAGTAGATGGCCCAGATGGAGTTTCACCATGGGTTCTGAAAGAATGTGCATCTGAGCTCAGCATTCCCCTTCAGCTGATTATTCAGACATCCCTGTGTACAAGAGTCGTAGCAGATGTGTGGAAAAAGGCTAACATAGTTCCAATCTACTAAAGTGGCAGCAGGGAAGACCCCCTCAATTATAGACCTGTATCAATGACAAATGTAATAGTCAAAATATTGGAAAAATAATTAAAACTAAATGGGTGGAACACCTGGAGAGAAACAATATAATATCAGATAGACAGTATGGTTTTTGATCTGGAAGATCCTGTGTATCGAATTTACTCAGTTTTTATGATCGATCCACAGAGATTTTACAGGAAAGAGATGGTCGAGTTGACTGCATCTATCTGGACCTAAAAAAGGCTTTCGACAGAGTTCCACATAAGAGGTTGTTCTGGAAACTGAAACATATTGGAGAGGTGACAGGTAAGCTTCTAACATGGATGAAAAATTTTCCGATAGAAAAATGAGGGCAATAATCAGAGGCAATGTATCGGACTGGAGAAATGTCACAAGTGGAGTACCACAGGATTCAGTTCTTGCACCGGTGATGTTCATTATTTACATAAATGATCTGCAAGATGGAATACAGAATTATATGAACATGTTTGCTGATGGTGCTAAGATAATAGGCAGAATAAGAAACTTAGATGATTGTCAGGCCCTTCAAGATGACCTGGACAAAATAAGTATATGGAGCACCTCATGGCAAATGGAATTTAATGTGCATAAATGCCATGTTATGGAATTTGGAATAGGAGAACATAGACCCTGGTTGATTATACCTGGTTGGTGGGGTTCTGGGAGTTCTTCTACTCCCCAAGCCCTGCCCGAGGCCAGGCTCGACTTGTGAGAGTTTGGTCCACCAGGCTGTTGCTTGGAGCGGCCCGCAGGCCCACATACCCACCACAGCCCGGTTGGTCTGGTACTCCTTGTAGGAAACAATCTAGTTTCCTCTTGAAGATGCCCACAGTTGTTCCGGCAATATTTCTTATGCTCGCTGGGAGGGTGTTAAACAACCATGGACCTCTGATGTTTATACAGTGTTCTCTGACTGTGCCTATGGCACCCCTGCTCTTCACTGGTTCTATTCTGCATTTTCTTCCTTATTGTTCACTCCAGAACGTTATTATTTTACTGTGTAGATTTGGTACTTGGCCCTCCAGTATCTTCCACGTGTATATTATTTGATATCTCTCTCGTCTCCTTTCTAGTGAGTACATTTGGAGGACTTTAAGACGATCCCAATAATTTAGGTGCTTTATCGCGACTATGCGTGCCGTATATGTTTTCTGTATTCCCTCTATTTCAGCAATCTCTCCCTCTCCGTTCTCCCTCTTCGCCCTTACATCATTACACACAGATGTAATGATGTAAGGGCGCTTTATCACTTGGGAGATGAAATACTTCAAGAGTCTGAGAGAGAGAAAGACCTGGGGGTTGATATCACGCCAGACCTGTCCCCTGATGCTCACATCAAGAGGATAACAGCAGCAGCATATGCCAGGTTGGCTAACATAAGAACGGCCTTTAGAAACTTGTGTAAGGAATCTTTCAGAACATTATATACCACATATGTCAGACCAATCCTGGAGTATGCGGCACCAGCATGGAGTCCATATCTAGTCAAGCATAAGACTAAAATGGAAAAGGATCAAAGGTTTGCCACCAGACTAGTACCCGAGCTGAGAGGTATTAGCTACGAGATGAGACTACGGGAATTAAACCTCACTTCGTTGGAAGACAGAAGAGTTAGGGGGGACATGATCACCACATTCAAGATCCTCAAGGGAATTGACAGGGTTGATAAAGACAGGCTGTTTAACACAAGGGGACACAGGTGGAAACTGAGTGCCCAAATGAGCCACAGAGATATTAGAAAGAACTTTTTTAGTGTCAGAGTGGTTGACAAATGGAATGCATTAGGAAGTGATGTGGTGGAGGCTGACTCCATACACAGTTTCAAGTGTAGATATGATAGAGCCCAATAGGCTCAGGAACCTGTACACCTGTTGATTGACAGTTGAGAGGCGGGACCAAAGAGCCAGAGCTCAACCCCCGCAAGCACAACTAGGTGAGTACAGAGATCACACTAACGTGATGCATCAAATGAACAAATTCACAAGGGCCGTGTAAAATTTGTGTAAAGGGGTTGTGTAAAATCCTGGTGTGTGCCTTGGAGAGGCTACGGGATCCAGTAAGTTCAGTAGAAC